AAATTTTTTGTTTCTTAGTCCGTCCGCATTTTAAGATAATATCCTAATATTGTTCAAGAGGTATTCATTATTCATTCCGGTTATTAAGTTCTCGAATAAGTCTCCTACTGATTTCGAAATTTGATTACTAATAGTTTCAGTCGGGGAGACTACTACATGGTTAATTATTAAATCATCTAAGATGTAGAAGTTGAAGGTTTCCTATCACAACTCGACATTTAACCAGCGTAGCTCATTCCCGGTTATATAGAACCATCTCTGTTATTTTCCTTATTGTTAGTTCTGCCAATTTTTCTAAGAGGAGCGTTTTAGGGTGAAAAATGATATTTTGAAGTTTGCAGTGTGATCACCAATACAATTTGCACGTCTTAGCTTTTTATCTTTTTCTTTAGGACATAACGTCGTGTCTTGATCTTCACCGCATTTCACACATTTGTAACCAGAGGGACAGAATTTTTCGATTTGTCCGAATAATTGGGGCGTCTAAAGCATTTGCCAATCCTACCACTATTTTTTTTTAAAGTCCGCAGAGACTAACGTAGCCTATATTTCTTACGTGATTTATACTTTTTCAGACTGAAGTAATTTTGCAAGGATCAAAGGCAGTGGAGTTCCAAACTTGTTATAGCGTCGCATTCTCATGACTGCAGAAGGATGGAAACCTAGAATTTCCAGCTCTTGTTTTAAATATTCGGCGACAAGCTCAGTAAAGATACCACGCAAAACCACCACCCCTTTTTCAGAAGATAGCTTATAAGTACAAAATCCATAACCATTGGCGTCAGGTAGGACTAAGTTTTCTAAAGTCATTTTCAGGAGGTACCATTATTTGAAGTCATGGAGCGCATCTTTAGCGGTAGTAAATATATTGTTAGCTTTACATTGTGAGCGTAAAAGTTTCCAAACTGATTTATCTTACGAAGAATAGTGGGAGGGGGATTCGAAGTTTTTTATCATTATCACTATTAATATTGCCATTTGTATTACTGTTATATTTATATTTATTACTATTAGTATTGTTATAATTGTTGTTATTATTATTATCACTTTTATTATTGTGGCTATTATTATTACTACTATCATCATTACTATCACTATCAATATAATCACTGTTATTACTATTAACATTGTTAGTACTTGTATTACTATATGTAGTACTATTTGAATTATTGGTCTTGTTTTTCTTACTTTGAGTTGTATTTATGCTTAAACTTTTAAGATATCCATAGGTACGGTTTGGTTTTATGATAAGTTCGTTATTAGCAGTATCTTGGCCAGTATCCATAAGAGAAAAAAATATTTCATGTTGGAAGTTCTAAGGCTGATTGCTCTACCTTTCCTTTTTTAGGGGCTTTCGTCAGCGAAAGATTCTCTTTATTTCTCATTTCCGCAATAAGTTTGTTTGCAGATTTTTGATGGTAATAGCAAAATGGCTACCGTATCTTGGGAGCGGTCACTCTCCATAATTCAAAAAAAAAAAAGTTTTAAAACGTTTTTATGCAAACAGCACAAAAAAATTCAAACTTATATACAGATAAATAGTCATGTTTTCACCATGCTTACAAGATTTTCGAAACTCTGAAGAACCGTTCATACGTTTTTCATATAATCTAGGTTATAAAGAGTATATTAGTAAAGCCTTCTTTCATGTTTGCTATCAAAAAAAATTAAACCGGAAGCTAAAAATAATTTTTATAAAAGTACACAATCAAATTATTCATCTAACTCAAACTTGCTTAAGACGATTGTATGAAAGACAAGTACTAGTTGGCGTTAATTTGAGGTATAGTTATTGAGTTACGCAATGTATATTTAATAATTTAGTATCCCTTAATTTTTATACATTAAAACATGACTTTTAAAATAAATAAAAAAATGTGAACTTTATAAAAATTTAACTCAAGATAATGTATTGATAATATATATTATGAAAATTATTTAACTTAAGGTTTTCTAAAACGCTGGATAAGTAAGCTAAATATTTTTTTAAATATCGCTGTTCTTAGCAAGTTATTACATACGTTAGCTCAGGGTATTAACAGTAAAACCAATAGCTGAAATTTATATGGCACTTTTACCTATGGATTTAAGGCACTTCTTATAAAGTTACCCTATGCCATCTTAACGTTGGTAATGCCTTAAAGAAGTAACCTTTAAATAGTGTAATAAATATTATTTAAGGTATAATAAATGTTTGCATCAAGTGTCCTCTAGTTGCTAGCGCATAAGGCCAAAACATGGTGTAAAAGGAGATCGCTACCTTCATAACGGACTTGCAAAGTAAAAACACTACCTGTCTTTCACCTAAAAACTCTTAACGACTAAGAATTTATATAGTCTTCATTCTTGAAGCACAACACTAATGCTAAAGTCACAAACAACAGAAAAAGTAAATTAACTTAAATAACTTTTATATTATCTTTTGACGGACATGAGCCTTCGTTACTTTTAATTTTCATTTATTCTGTTTTACTCAATCTTATACCTAAACGAACACAATGAGTACTTTCAAGCTATAGACGCTGTTAGACTTACTATTCCCTGCAGGCTTAAGTGGTATATTACCAACATAATATAGTTGTGACACTACAAAGCAGTATCTAGGAAACAGCTCGGAGCTAACATTTAAAGGATAACCCACAGGAAGCAAGAAACTCAACTGCAACTTTAATAAGTTTATCTTACACAATAAACTAAGTCAACATAAGGAATAGTTCTGTAGTTGTGGAGCCCCCCACGGCCGCTATAATTAAGTTGTGGTAGAAATTATCGTCCAAATATTTTACCGCGAGAAACAAGCTTTAGTAATTAAGTTAAAAGGCAAGTAAAACTTTGATGGTAACTATTACCCTATGCAGCGTGCAGCTAACAATGTTAGCAGTACCATGAAGGTATCCAAGATATTAATATATCTGGTTCTTTACAGCAACATAAAGGACCTTTAACCCTGATTTTCTCTAATATATTAAGCATACAAAACGTAATGTTAACGGAAAACATGCTCATAGCTATAAGCTTAGCTAACCTGCCCAGAAGTAATTCCTGGTGTTTGCTGGCGGCATGTCGCCGCCTATTACGCAGTGAACTTAACTGCTGGACACAATTACTCTTACTCAGGAGAAATCATTTCGCGTAGTCAATAGTATGCCTACCTTTATTAAGGAACCGAGCAGGCCGCAAGCGCCTACCCTAATATATAAATTTTTTTTTGGTAAATTCGTTGTAATAAACGTCTTTTTAAACAAAATGATACTTGTAACGAAGTACAACTTTTAGTGTAAAGGTGCGGTATCATTAAAGTATGGTGTTGTTTAATTAAGATAATTACGAGGCCTTCCGGGGGACACGCCGTTTCACCCCACCTCGCTTATTTTTTAATTCATTAATGGAGACAACCGTTAAAATTAGAATACATTTAAAAAATTGTGTTGCTAATTGAAGATTTAGGGCCACATCGTTGGCTGTTTCGTCTGTATTGAAGCGACAAGGGCGCTTTTGCTTTATAATACTAAGCTAAGTCTCAGTACTTCGTTACCTTCGTGGCCCCTTTGTGCTGCACGAGAGGCGTCAAGTTTTCAACAAAACTATAATATTTTTATTTCAAACGTTTAAAAAGACGATTGACCAGAACAGAGTTATCGCATCTACAATTTATTTTTCATAAAGGCAGTTATATCAAATATATATGCTATTTTCATCTTTACTGAGCCTTAAGGAGGGGAAGTTTCTGCTTTGTATATTGCTCAGTGGCTTTTAATTATTTTTTAGTTAATTATTTCTATCCTTTTTAAATTACTGAGTCTCAGGTACTTTTGCTACTGCTACTTAAGGTATTGCCCCCTCCTGCCACACTTATTAGTGTTTCGTACAAAAAACCTAACTAAAAACGGTTTATTTACCTTTTAATTTTGGCTTAAATAAAAGGTCATAGGGTATTATCGGGTGTTAAAAATAGAATTTAATTGTGGTGAGGTACTAATGTAGATCTTTTATTCGACTGTTAAAGATTAGTTAGTTGTAAACCAGTCAAGCTAGTATTTGTGTTGTACGTAATATTTCAACTCTCAATAGAGTTGAGGGTATAAGGAGGAGAAACCGTATATTGAGTAAATCTAATTTCAAGGTTAACAGGTAATCCAGCTCTAAGTGCTTCTATTTCAAACTATATTTTAGAGAATTAAATGGGTCAAAGTTTTGGCCCTACTTGTAAACAACTAATTCATAGCTGCGATTTATATAAATTATAAACCACAGAATATAAGGAGAGAAAATTAAAAAAAAGGCAGTTCAAAAATAGCCTGAAAGCCTGTCAACTACGTTAAAACTTAAAAAATGCCGAGAAAAGCGACGGTTCACTTCGAACAAGTAGCAAAAACATTAAGCGACACCATAATGCAAAGATTTGGATTAGATTGTTAAAATTGTAACAGACAATAAGGCGCACACAAGCATATCTCTTTTCTATTCTACCTAAATATAATAGGTAAATAGGTTTAGAGATAAAGGGATTTATTAAAGCGTAAAGTCCCTTTTCGTCTCCTTAAGGGGCCCAGCTGCGCTGTACTTGTCAAGATAAGTTCTTTTATCATCAAAATCAAACTCTATCCCACGACTCTCTATCAGTTCCACGTCCTTGTTCGTTATACCACACCCTTGATTTAAATCCTCAGGCTTGGTGGGTGGGTTATCTTTCCAGTTAAAAAAAATATATACGCAACAACTAAGACAATCACCCATGGAAAACTTAACCTATGAAAAAGGTATATTTAAAAGTGCAGTGGAAAAAAGTAACTTACACCTTAAATTGAGTTTTTTTAAATCAAAATGAAAAATCTACGTAAATAACTTTGAAAAGTTGCAAGGGAAAAGCTGTCTTTAAAATATTGTAAAAAAGCTAATTTGAAAGGCAAAGAAGTGAATATATCTATAGTAGGAATAATATAATTTTAAAAAAATTCGTTAAAATAAAAGAAGATAAAATATTAATCAACTTAAATTTAATAAGTTATGGCACAAGTTAAGCGAAGTTCTACGGCTTTTTAGGTGAGCTGGAAATTAAGCCTCTGAAAACCCTTAACAGATATGGAAACCTGTAAGTCAAAGCGAAAACATCGTTTATACCACGTTTCTTTATATAATAGATGTTTTAACAAACTAAATTAAGAACTTGTACTTTACCTTATAATAGGCTAAAATAAATTTAAAGGTTGAACAGGTAATAAGAGGCAAACGCCCTGATAAGTATTAATCATAAAAGAAACAAAAAAATTAAAAGGTTTTTACGTCTTTACTATTAAATTAAACCTAACAAAAAATACGATTACGCAACTACCTCTATAGGTACTATTAAATTACCATACCACAATATAACTTGCAAATTCTACTTGGGTTATACGCACTTAATTGAGTTATTTCTGTTAAGTATAAGTGTACTCACTTACGAAAGCGTAATATCTCGAGACTTATAACTCGGCTGATCCCCGAACAAACCGAAACAAAGAGGTAGACAGAGAAGTTTGACGCAGTGATAGTATGTACTATTTTTTATTCTATTACTAACATTAAGTTAGCATTTTTATATTTTTAGTTATATAACTTTTTGGTGTTTAAAGTTATAAGAACAGTAGTGGTCAACTGAAGTAAAATGTTGCTACTATCTAAATAAAGTTATGATAGAGAGATTGGCAATGTACTCATTAACTATTTATTCATAGCTCTGAACTCCTTTAGAAGTTTCAACTACAAGTAATAATTGACGTTAAAAGCTCAAATAACGCAGACTCCGGTGTAACTGAGCACTTAGGGCTCAAGTTAGTAAGTCCGTTTTACTTTTTCTTAATTTTTTTTTTTTAATATCTTAACTCGAACTAAGAATAGTTAAAACCTAATTTTTTTAAACGGACTAATTAAAATTAATATAAAACCCAACCCTTATCTTTCTAGGGGAGGATGAAGAGAAAATCATAATGACGAATGGACAAATCTTTAGTTAATAAACACTACTTGTTAGTTAGAGATGCTAAAACTATAACGACTAAAAAATTTATTGGGAACATTAGAGTGCACAGAAGAATTGTTGCCAACAACAAAAAGCTTAGACCACATGTTGTTTGCTTTATTCTTTCAATTTCTTTTGTAGACAATTTTTAAAACTGTTAGATAAGCTATTGCATTCTTGGAAGTCGCTTAAAGGTCTCATCATTTTTCTAACCTCGCATTAAGTATGTAAAATTATGTCTATACGAGCAATAGGTGAAAACCACCTATATTTTTAAAAATTTTTCGGAGATCGCTGCAAATTTACTCAAATTATATAAAGTATTCTGAAGACTACAAAAATAATGTGGTAGGCTTCAACTAGTCGCTAGCACTTAAGATTGTTTCGTTTAAAAATCCTCTAAGTTGGCTAGTGTACTCCCGATACTCCCGGGTATCTGCAGCACGCTTATTTACTTTAAAACGGAACCGCTTTTTGTTGTCTAAAAAGTTAGCTGACTCGTATTCTAGAACGCCAAGAACCGAAATTAAATAAATTAATTCTACACACTAAAGCTTATCCACCATCTTAAATAAAAAGTATACAGATATTAAGTAGACTCTAAATTGTCTTGGCGGTCAACGTACATTATGTGTCGAGGAAGGTTTATAGTAATTCTTAGGGGTGATATCGCCACATACCTTTTAATTATGTAAAAGAGACTTGAGCTGCATTATAATCACTTCAGTCTATATACAATAAGTGGGACAAATTTTAATTTTATCTTTTTTATAACTGCATTTTTTACAAATTGAAATAATATGCTTAACTTTATATGAATATCAATTTTTTTTTTGATGAGCGAGCTTCTTCTTTGACTTGTAAACCAAACATTATCTTTAATTGCACTAAATACCTAATATTTTTTTCTTCTTGGGGTGTATTTCTAATTATCGCCAAATCAATTCTCTCCCTGAACAGCCTTAATAAAAACTTCATCACACCTATTTTGAAATCCCAGTCAACGTAAACTGCTCAGTTTTACTAACGAATTCAATAAAGTTCTACAAAATTTGCTTATAGTAAGAAGTTATTATAAATCCAACGCAGTTAGATGGTCAAGTTTTGGTTTTTATCTAAAAAACTTTTATACCTTGCATATACTACTAGTTACAAGACTAGAGCCAATAATTATAAAAGGAAGACTATTAATTCAATTTTTTACGATCTGAAATTTTTATTATTATTAATGTTGTTTCTAAACTCAGCAATTGCTGGCTTATAAAAAGAGTTAGAAAAAAGTTAGGTGTTCTAATATATTCATCAAGTGAGCACTCTTTACTAACTTAAAAAGTAAACAAGCAACAATTACAGGTCACGATTAAGATACGTTTTCCACCCGGAAGACAAAAAGACCATATAAACCATACATACGAATGCCAATTTCCTAAAACAAATAAAACCTAATATTCAGTAAAAATCTAACAGATATTGAACCAATGAAACAAGCACACATACCCAATTTAATCCGATATAAATTTTTAATACAATAGACAATCATTAAAAAAAGTGGTACGACTATAATAAAGGAGATTGTAACTAATATGTTAAATTTAACAGACAAAAAAGAACTAAAGACAAAAGAATAGCTACTTGCAATTACTTAACATTTAACGAATGAAATACTAAAAACAGAATACACCGCATGACAACTAACCAAATAAAAAACTACTAAATAAACTTTAACATTAAATATTATCTATTCATTACTTATAAATATTCTGCGCTCGAAAATTTCATATTCACACTTGGAAGTTTGACATATAGAAGAACAATTCATAAAATCTAAGCTTATTGCAAGAGGCTCCTAGCAAATCTACTTGCTAGTCTTTTCAAAGAAAATTTTGAACTTCCGATAGTGGTTGCGAGCCTTAGTAAAATGTCTCTAGGAAGAGTTGCTTTTCTGCATTATTTTCAATATGTCCAGCAACAGTTCATGTGGGAGTCCTGCTGCACGCATCTTACATATTGCCTTAATAACTTTTGTAGGGCTATAGAAATCAAGAATTAGGTAGTATTATATTTTTATGTACTGCACGCCCAGTCCCACTCATTTTTTTTTTATCTTCTGGGTGCATTTGAAGAAGAGTTTGATTTAACAACTTTATTGTTATCAGTGCTAGAGCCAACTTAAGGGTTTTCGCGCGTTGGGGTCCTAACTTACACAAACAAAACTTATAAAACCGGTGTATTTTTATATAACGTAAGGTCTAATTTAAGATTACCTTGATACGCAACAGCATCAGTTATTAACTAAACATTTATAAAACACTTAACACTTATACTCTAACTATAGCCCAACTATCTGGATTAAATGGCTCGGTTCATCTTTTTTTAAGAAATATAACTTAAGCTAGAGAAGTATGTATATATACAGAATCAACGACTCTATAATACTGAGTGACCAGGAAATATATCTGGCCAAACTAGAACGGTAGGTGAGTTGAGAGGTGATGGTAGTATTTGGCAATATCGGGACGACAGTTAACTCCCGAAAAACGATCATGAATCGAAGGGCTAACTTTAACTACCAGGTTAAAATTTAATATAAATATTAAGGATTTGGTTTTATATTTGTAATAAGAGGGTAAGTTTGAGGGGCATCCAATGTGATTATATAAGTTTTGGCTCGCGCACCCGCTGAGGTTTAGGTTTTTTCCTCTGTGGTTGTAGTTGGGTTTGGTGCGCTCGGAGAACCTATACCAAGTTTACAGTGTTTCTTGTACTTCGACTTTTTTATATAATGTCACTTTATTGTCTTTAATACACTTTATATTTTCGTTAATTATTACCTTACTGCCTTATAATATACAAGTTTTCGAAGACTTACGGCTTTGTGAAATCAACAACTTTTGAATTAAAAACAAACCGCTCAAGACCTGATACTTTTATATGCTACTACATTATCAAGTATATTTATGCTTAACAACAATAAAATTGTTTTTTTCAAATTTTTATATCAATTTGCCATAGGCGAGTTTCTACTTTTCTCTCCTTCGACTGTCGTGCATTGGCTTTTCCTGTATATTTTAATAAAAAGCGGTTGGCAAATTATAATATTTAGTAGCTAGTTGCTACGGTTGTAAACAATCGGTATATGTGCGATGACGCTCAGCGCGGTTCAGTTTGAGAAGTTTAACTACTAAGGAAAGGAGAGACTAACATTCGTTATTTAGCCAGAAAATTAATTTTGCAGTAAGTCTGGTCCTGTATATGCGTTAAATGACCCAGTAGGCTAAAGGTCGAAAAGAAAACTATTAGTTGTCAATAGTTGTCTTTTTTATAAAAAAATACGGTATATATAAAATTACAACTTAAAAATTTTAACAATAATAGTTACTTGCAAAGTAATTTATACCAAGTTAGTGGCGCTGATAACTTAAACAGCTTTGAAAACAATTTTAAAGATGCTGTTTTATAATAATTAGCCAAAAGACCATAAAATTATTGTTTAGTGTGATTCTGGTTGTTGCCAGACTGGTTAAGTCCGTAAGTCAGAGCTACTTTGGACTGAACGAATATTGATAAATGCTCTATAATAAAGTGCTGCTCTCACTCAGCATTATTGTTAATTGCTGTTCCCCAATCTGTTTATGTCTCTCTACAACTTGCTTTCGAAAGTCATCATACAACCCCAATGACAAAGTGCTGCTCTCGCGCAGCTTAAGTGTTATTCGGTATACCACGATCCGTTTGTTAAAATCCCTACGATCCTAAAGAATTACTTTTAGTTGTCACTATCCACAGCGTGGTTTTTACTCCATTCCCTACTATTTGGCCAAAAATGTTTTTAGCCTAAACTTTCTATTTATATAGCTGTTCCTATTAAGCAAAATTGAGCCTGGTAGAATACTCTAGCTAACTGGTAATGACATGTTTAGACTCAAGGCTTAATAATAATGATATATTCTCTATTTAGTAATGCAAGTTACCAGGAAAAGTCTGCTGTATAAAAACTTTGTTTCGCCCACAATTTTTATTTTTTATTTTTATAGCCGGACTATGTATAATGTCGAATCTTAGTTATTCTCTCCTCCGGTGAGGTAGAGCTTTTGCAATAATAATTTAACAAAAAAAATGCACTGATTTAAGTTATAGCTTCCAAAGTAGCCTATAATCTTTATTATATTAGATTGTATACATCGAATAATTTCATAATTAGAAGTATAAGAAGCTCTTTTTTTGCAAATCGCGCACAACCCGCAGCTATTCAGGGGTTACTTTCACATATAGGATATTGTTCCTAACAGATTTTTAAATATATATTAAAAAGAATTTAACCTAAACAGCTAACCATAAGTACAGAGGTAGTGCGTCACGGTTGGTGTAAGACAGCTTAATTAGTATCTCTATAAAAAATTCAAATTTAATCAATCAAAGGGTTGGACTAAAAAACGCACTTGTAGAGTTCCTTAAGCAAACTAAAGCCCGAACCAGTTATTCTTCATATATAATAAATTATATTTTCTGCTGTAAAATCGCGATGGTTCTTGCTTTTTCTTTTTATTAATATTATAAATTTAATGATTATAAGGCTCCCCATTATTTTTATTGTTCCTTATACTGGAATTTTTTTAAGTAATTATTACTTAATTTAAAGAAAATCTCACAGAAGACGAAAGGACTAGAGATGGTCTCTGTCCTTTATTAAATATACCATAATAAAAGTGTGTTTAGCATTTATGGAAAGCAATGCGATGAGGAATTACAAGTTAGAGCTTGTAGAATTTATAAGCAGCGAAAAGATTTAATTACTTGAAACATATGAGAAGTCATCTTTTAAAAGGAAACAATGCAAACTATGATTATACTTAGCAATTGCCCTAATTTTAAAATAATTGAAAACCCTCTTTTTACCTATAAAGTAACTCCAGTCAAAAAAACCCTTTAAATTTCTCATTTAGTTATTTTATAGATTTTCCCTCTTTAATTAAACCACCTTTTTTCTAGGTATATCACTCGCTTTTCGTATTTAAAAAAATTCAAAATAAGTAGATTTTTCCCAGCTCAATGTCAAAACTTTTCAAACATCAAAAAAAGCAGAAAGTTAGAAGTCAGCACAGAAGTTCTTAAAAGTATTACCTAACGGGATTGCACGAATAATTAAAAAGTTTATAGAATAAACGAAACCGTAAAAGTTTCCAGAATTTTTAAAAGGAAATAAAAAGTTAACGTAATTAGTATTTTCTCAAACCCGTGCAACATAAAAAAAAGCTTAATAAATTTTGAAATAAGTTTTTATAACATTTAAAACTACAAAGAATTTATATTCGGTTTGGAAGTTGAGTATGTAATAAATTTATTATATGTAAATCTTATATGCGTATATAAACATTAATTTTGGATAAGTTGCAAATAAAATTTAAGTCAAATAAAAATAATGATAATACAAACCTCCGGATGTGGTGAATTTGGATTATATTGGGGAATGTCGTGAGAATTTATTAAGCGTTGTTAGGAGTGGTGTCAATATGATATAAACTATAAAATCAATAGAGTTAAAAAAAGAAGACATGACTACAACCTTAAGCTGAACTAAGTTAGAAAGAAAAGCTAAGAACTTAATAAAATTCAAAAAGTAGAAAAACCCGAAACGCAATGCTGACTCTCCACCTCTAACTTCCGCTGCAAGCAAAGAAGTTCATCTTCAAATTTAATTGTTTCATTAAATATTTCCTTTAATTTAACAGAACTTAAACATTCTTAATAAAGTAAACCATGCAAAAAATATAGTAAGTTATATTTATTTATTAAATACGTTTATTCTTTCTTTACAGTCCCTAAGTTCACTCATTCCTCAACGACTCTACCGTTACGATTTCCGGGAAATGTCCTAAAACGCGGCCCTCTCCTTCTTGGCAGTTGTACGTAAATATTTGCAAGCGCCCAGCTGTTATCTACTTTGTAAAAAAAAGAGCCTGTTGCTCAATTGTCTAAGTTCTTTAAAAATTGTTATTATTCTATCTTTAGTTTCTAAGTTTTATTTACACTTAAAGCCTATTAATATTAACTTCTATTTCTCGTCATTTTCACAGTTTCGACTAAGTATACCTTTACTTCCTTGTTTAAAATTTCGCTTTTTCACTCGTTACTTGTTCTATTATATTTATGCTTTAAAACGCTTTACTTGTAGACTTTCTACATCAAAGAGAGTTTTTTTTTAAGGTCATAAGAAATACTGCTTCTATGACACATTGTACCTAATAACTAAGGGGACACAAACAGTTATACTTTTTACAGAATATAACTTCAGAGCAAGTGAGTGCGCAACTACAAAAGGAGTAACGGTCACTCAAATGATAATGAAGAAAACACGAAAGTTAAGAACTTTTAAATACATGTCGAATTTGGGCAATTAAAGCCTTGCATAAATTTTTGTTTTAGCAACAAACTTATATGGTTTACTAGTATTATGAAAAGTATTAGTAATGGCTTTAAAGAGCATTTAATATAGTTTTCTTTTTAAGAATTTGAGAGGATTATGGAAGTTTTTAGTTCGTAAATTAGAGGGGAGTTTTGTCTTGAGTAAAACTACTAATATTATTATAGATACTTAAAGTAAAAAGTCATTAAACGAGAGCTTAAACTAAAAATTATTTATAACATTAAAAGTCGAGGCAACTTTGGATGCTGATTCTCGAAAATTAAATGCAAAGCAATAAGCCTTTCTAAATGCGTATGAGCCCGTTTAACAAAAAAAAAATTCTGTTGGTAAATTTAAGTATTATTTAATCTCGTGCAACTTTGGAAAAGTAAATAACGTGTAAAATAACATTTTGGTATTATTAATCTTTCCTTGGCCTTAAATCGTCGTCACTCGTCAAGTAATTAATTCAACTTATATTAAAGTTCACTTTGCAAACAACTTTAATAAATAGAAAGGCAGTGTTTGTTTTTCTTAAAATAATAGGAGGATTGGATGCGTGAAAGTCTGTCTGCGCTTACTCTAATAAAATGGCGAAGCCAATAAGCTTAACGCTCTTTAAAATTAAAAAGCAATGTGCCGATTTTAAATTTTATAACACTCTCCTAAAAAGTATATTATTAACAACTGCACAACTGCCCCACTCCTCTGCCTGATCGCAACCGACCTGTTTTATATATACTGTAGAGCTTAGCCACCTCCGTTCTGTTTGCGAATTCCCTTCCGGTCTCCTTCAAGTGGTGAATTGCCAAGAAAAAAACACAAGTTAACTACTGCGGCGGTGCGGAGGGCCGGAAACGACGACGCCCAACATGGCGTTCCTGCGAGTTGCGTGGCAGACGACCCTCCCCCCGAGCTCTCCGTAGAGGTAAGTAGAGCCGGAACCAAGGCTTAACTTTCCTTCAACCGAGCCCCGTCGTAGTCCAAATGGTAAGGCCGGAGGCGCTGAGAAATGGGATTAAAAATAAAAAAATTAATTTAGTATCAACAGAACTAATTACGCAATAAAATTACAAAAACTGTATGCCGAGGCTGCGCCACTTATGATTCATCCAAATTGCTGGATAATTTAATGTTTGCTAGTATAAATCAAACGTGACCTCTTGTCCCAGCCAGTGATCATCGTTCCCACGATAGACCCACTCCGTTATAGCTGTAAATCATTTTAGCGGCTGCCCTGAAATTTTTTCTTTATTACGCAAATCGGGAAGTCCAAAAACAAATTTATAATTTTCTGTATTAAGCTATAAGTTCACATAAAAATAATGCTTACATAAAAATTAGTCCATCGGGCAAATGAAAAAAAAATAGAAAGCAACGTCCTAGACTTTTTATAATATCATTACTTTTTTTATAGATACTCGCAATTTATTGTAACTGGCTCAAAAAACTTAAAAGATTACTTAAGTATATATTTCCTTAATTGTATTTGTATAGAAAAAATTAAAAAGTTACTGTTTCCATAAGAAAGATGTAATCTCAGGCTCATGCCAACCGAAATGGGAGAAAAAAGTGATAACTTTAAACTTTAATAATAAAACTATAAGGTGGGCCAGCTTAAAATAGTAAAAAACGTAAAACGAAAAAATCTCAAGTACTATTATATTATAAGCTTTTTATATATAAAAAAATAATATTACCGAGTAAGAAACTTATAAAAATACTCTGCTTTTGTCCAAACTATTATTATTACTTGTGCATATACAATTTGATTTTGTGCAAAATAATACCCTTGCTTGTTTCTATACTTAATTTTAAGGTGATGAAATGTCTATAACTTTATTTATATATAAAAGGTTTATTAAATGTTTAATCTTGTAAATTTTTTAAATTACACGTTTAGTTAATGATAAGGGTTTAATGGGGAAGATAGTGCTATAATTAGTGTTGAAAAAAAAACGGATAAAAAAAAGGAAAACCTGCAGTGCAGAGCCACCTGCTGCAACAAGAAAGAATAATCCGCTGCTCCTCCTTTTAATGTACCAAGGATATAAAGACCATATCAATAACTTTCTTAAGGGTTTAAGAAGCTGGTATTTAAAAGATATTAATATAAGTCAACCAGTTTTTCCCCTAAAATTTATTTAAAGCAGTACAACCGATGTATGAGTCGGCATTTGCACGAGAATTAGCTGCTACTATTTACACTACACTGGAAATCGAAACCAATAGTGTTCATGCCATGGTTATATTATATTTCTAAATTTTCATGGCAAGAGTTGTGACCACTCTTAACAAAATTTGTAGCTTCCTTTAAGTAGCTACCCCAAAGTTATATCGAGCGAGGTTATCCACTGTAGGTAAAAGGTTAAAAGAAATTAGTCCACAGAAGCTGCATTTAATATAGGGTCAAGCGTAAGAGTCGTTTCGAATAAGAGAATTAAAGTAGAGCCGGGAGAAAGTAGCAAGCGAACAAAAGTTACGTAGTTGCTAGTAATAGAGTTGGTAGAAACGGTGGGCAAGTTAAAAAGATTTCCAGCAATGAGGGAAATAAAGAGAGCTGATGATAGGCCGAACATGGGCGGAGCGCCTGGGGCGCCTTCTAGAAAGTTACCAAGAGGAATCAAAAATTCAGCAACTTCCGATTAAGGCGAGACTTCTTGTTGACCACTCGCATACCCGCGAGTGCAAACTTCCTCACAACTACCAATGAAGCACTTCTTGAGCTAAACGCGGTAAGCCACTCGGAAGGCCATCAGAGATAATTAGGTTGAGGAAAATATAATAAATGAGTACCGCTGACCCTCTTCCCCTCCATGAGGGCCATGATGCTTGCTAAGACATCATATATTGTTAGCAGTCAAGCACAGTCGCTTATAAAGAAATATTTGACCGCAGTTGTCAGTGCCGTTTAACTTAATTTCCATAATTTTCCTTGAATCCAACCCAAACATTATTTAACCCTCGCACTTCGCACCAGTACAGTAATTTCTGTAAGAGCCCCTTTTTACTATTAATTTTAAAAAATTAATTTTACTATAGTATAAAAAATTATATTTTGTCGGTGTTAGTATTAATTTAAATTATTCTATCACATAAGAAATAAAAAAATATATTATCTAATAATAGACAAACATAGAAATTGAGGAGGAGAGTATATAACTCGTTTCCTCAAAATTTTTAAAAAGCGAGCTTAACAATGTGAAAAGGTGACCTTACCTTCCTCGACCAAGTTAACACCGCCTTGTCGAAAAAGTATTAAGCAGACTTTGATTCTTATTGGGTTTAAAGGTTTAGGGATAAACTGAAAATATCGATATTCTTAATAGGATTTATTTAATTTTTGAGTAGAGCCTAAGTAATAAATTCTAAAACCACCTAGCCATTTTAGTTTACCTTAATTAAGACAGCGAATGTAAAGGAACGATGGCCACTAGAATACTCTCAACCAAAACTTATTTAAAAAAATACAGTCTCTTTGAGCCTAAAGCTACCACCTTCTACAATTATTTTGTATAATTATAATAGAACTGGACGCTGCTCAGCCGCTCCGCTTTTCATTACTTGCGTTGCTGCTTTTAAATATTATCTTCTTCTCCTCTTGCTTCTACTCTATGTGTAAAATACTGAACAAAAGTATATATTAAATTTTTTCATAATCATGTAAAGAAAAATAAAATAAAACTTTATGTCGACTTTGACTAAAATTAATTTTACGTAGTCGTAATTTGTGCGCTCGTAATTTAATTAATATGCTAAGTCGTGTAAACGATTCGCTCACCACACGGAGAATTCTATAAAAAACATTATTCCGGAGCCGTATTAAATGTTGTACATGCGTGTGTAATATTAAAAACTCGTCATTTAAAGGATTTATAAAAAAATACAAAATTATTTTGTGTTAAAGCGTTGTCTAGCATTCTTCTAGAGATATTTTCAAAGTTAAAGAAATAAGTCCGAATGGCAATTACTCTAAATGGGTGTTTATATGATTTCTAGGCAGTAAACGAATATTTGTTTATTTGTTTACATTTGACTAATAAAAATAATATAAAGTTTATTTATGACTTTTCTTCTTCAATGCCCTCTTACGACTTTTTAAAGCAAACTCCGTTATAATTCCAATTATACATATTTTATTGAGTTTTGAGGATATATGCGACTTCTGCAACTAAGAAATGAAATGTTTTAAATATAAATACTCAGCTATACCCTGTTATAAAAAATAGCAATTTTACAATTGTGCTGGCTTCCTCGTTCAATGAAGTTGATCGCGGAGAGGTTTGATCATGTTATAATTGGAATAAATTTTAAGTGCGGGTCTTAAGTTAATTCTTTTTAAAAGTTTCTATAATTTAGCTATTGTACTTATTATTATTGTGGTAATCACACTATTAATATCTTGAGGTGTTGCTTTATATTATTCTATAAATTTTTTTTCTTTATACCTATTTTTAATTCTTTTTAGCTTTTGCTCAACGCCAACAATCAACAAAACTTCTTGATTGCGACTTACTATACTTACTTTTTCTGTGTACGAAAGAACTTGGTTTCTACCTACATATAATACTTGCTGGTATCTTTTATGAGATGAAAAGCGACAGACTTACTCTACGTTTCTTTTAGTGGATTTCTGCTCCTTTTAAAAGGAGAAACTCGAAACTTAAATATTTTTTTTTGTCAACTTAATAAACTTTTCAGTCGATAAAATTAGATAATAGAACCTATTTATTAGTGAGATGTTCGGGCGCCTCTGAGGACTTTTAGTTAATATACTGGATTAAAAATTATTTTCTGGCTTTATATATATTTATTATAAAGAGTGATTATTACATTTTACGTTGTATTGCTATCATTGATTTTATTGTTCAGAGTATTTTATCATGTCTTTGCGTAATTGGTTTTTACGTTTAACCTGGAAACTTTTGGCTTAAATTTTAATAATTGGTGCCAAAGCAACAAGTAACTTACTATATCGTACTCTTATATTTGTATATGATAAAAGTAAAATTTTAAATACATTGATTGTTTTTTTTAATATTTGTATTCTACAGCTTTAAGAGAATTTACCAGAGAAGTTCTAGCATATTATTTTTATTAACCGATAGTTGTGAAAAAAATTAAATTTAGGAGATGAACAGTTAAGCGATTTACGAGCGAAGTATGACAATATGAGATCTTACTATCAGCCTTTACTTCTAAAGCGAAGTATCATTTTTTAGAGTACAGTACATCTCCGCTTTGTAATTACTGCAGGGGGGGAGGTGCGGGTATGAGGCATTTGGGGAGCTGTAGCTTGCTGTTACATTTAATATGGAGCCTGAAGTTTGATAAATGAAAAAATCATTTATAATTGAATTATAATTGTACAAAAAAAAATTATTTCTATAAGACGGAAGCCTTTAAATTGTGTATACTGAGGTAGTTTGCGCGTACACTTAAAAAGCGTTTATATAGACTATATTTAGTACCTTATTAAAGTAGTATTATAAAATATTTTTAACGCTTACAAAAAAAAATTTACAAGGATACTTATAAAAGTTTTCTTTACCCGGATAAAAATTATATAAATCCAAGTTTCTGTTAAGAATATTTATAATATAAAGAGTATTCTCCGTTACATATTTTTTATTAAGTATATATGTATACATATAAGAAAGTAGATAAGCAAATAGCTTGTAATCTCTTAGTAAAGCGAAGAAAATATTTTGCAACAAGTAGTCCGCATTTCTTAATAAACAGTCAAGTCGATAACAAAAATATCAATTTGTTTTCTATCAACGGAAAGAAAACTAAACTTATTGCTTGCGGCCGTTATTATCGGGCTCTGCATTTTACAGGAAAAAAAAGATTGCATATCCATACTGTGTATAGCTGCAAGACTTGAATCCACTTGAAAGTAAGAAAAGTCTCACCAACTTTTTTACTAATTTTTTTGACGAGGCGTCCCTCACTTTTGAGGGAATATACGGTATAGTATAGAGAGTTACAACTGTTGGGGTAGTTGCAAAAAATGATATGCCTTGAGACATAAAACAACTTAGCCACGAATC